GGCTACATCAGTGGACATGGGAAGGGCTACAGATGTCGTCTGTCTGGACCTCTGTAAGGCCTTTGACATGGTCCCCACATCCAGAAGGTAGTGGTCAATGGCTCAATGTCCAGATGGAGATTGGTGCCATGCAGAGATGCACAAAAGCAGTTCTAAATTAATTACCTTGGGTATTGGAAGGTGTGTATCCATTGCTGGCCCCTAAACACTATCTGTGGAACCATGAGGGTTCAGGGAATGTGTTCCAAGAGCATAGGCATTCCTAGTAACAACAACAACAAAAGTGTAATAATTGTTCAGTTAATGCCATGAAGATACAACATGGCAAATACATGTCCTGTGGTGAAGTCATACGGTAATATGAAATACATGCAAATGATTATATGCAAATACAAAATAAAACCAAAGTCTGAAGAAGAGTTTGAGTTTATACATCTAAGAACTTGCATGTACATTGATCCAAGGGATAAGGAGTGCAATCACAATACCAGAACTCTTAAAATTATTATCTTAATCATATAAAAAGTCTTAATTTATATAAAACTGATCATGCATCTTAATCTAAATATGGGAAAAATTATGTTTGTTGGCTACCTGGCACTGAAATTGTTTATTCATGCCTTCTGCCCTGGGAAAAACCCTGACAGACCTGTCTCACAGATTTGATATTTTGGGATCCTGTAACTTGTGTTTAGTCTATCAAAGCTCTACTGACCTAGCTATGTGAATGAATTACTGATATACTATGTTACTACTACTATTCTTATTCTCTAATGATTACCATATACTCAGTACTGTACCTAAACTAAAGGTACTAAAAAGTAGCTAAAGCTACTAAAAGAGTTAGGATCAAATGACATCTGGACACTGTAGCAGTGTATCAAAGGCAATTAGTGGATTAATTCTCAGTTGTCTCTTGAATCTGTGTACATGGCGAAAGCCACCATTACAATACTGTCCTGCACAGAAAATAGCATCTAGGCCTGGAACAGACCTTCTAGATCAAGTCCGCTATTTTCCTCTTACGTTCATATAATCACATTCATAAGTTTGTTATGTTATTGCCAATTAGCAGCAGAATGAAAACAGCATAATTAAGTTTCACAACTGAAACTGATTCTGTTTCTTCTTTCTTGCCTTCATGCTTGAGAAAAAGGGAGCAGGTAACATTGAATGATGAAGGGCTGGAGAAGGTGCTTGAAGAGCACCTTCATGAACTGCAAGATTCTCACAAACTACATAGTTGTGATTGATTTTTGAGGTTTTTCTACAGCTGGTAGGCATGATGATTTCACTGTCATGTAGGAACAGTTTAATAAATTCAGATCAAAGTTTTCTTATGCCCATGCTCTCATTTTTCATATTGTTATCTTGCAATGATATGTAGAGGCATGGTATGTATACCCATATGTATCGGCATTATTTAGGCCCATGACTAACAAAGATATGCGTTGAAGTTCACAAAACTGTACACCGGGGAGAAAAATATTTGAGAGTATGTTTGTAAAAGTGGTAGGGAACTCGAACAAGTAACAGTTATTGTAGCAGAGCACAATTTGAATCCAATATGGACCCTTTGGAACTGTCAAATGCAGAGGAATTACTCAAACTACGTGAATTATAAAGAGCTTTTAGATAACTACTTGGACTTCTAGGTACGCTGGTACCTTTGAGAATGTGGCTTTTATGCCTGTCAGACTGAGTTTGTGATTTCTTTTTAAAAAGACGTGTACAGCTATAAAATCACATATAGGTAGAGCCCACTTCCACTTCTACAGAAATATCTGTGTTTTTAAAATAAAGTGATAGATGTGTTCTATAAAGTGTACCTGCAGACCTTAAAAGCAATTGTCATCTTAAAGACATATAGTTCGGTGTATAAACACTGCTTTAATCCATAATACAGCTTTCTCCCCTTCTAAATATATTTGGTAATTGTTCCAACACCACTGTAAGCTAACTTCTGGTGAGTTCTAGGGGGTTTTTATTAGCAAGGAGTAGTACTTCATAACTGTACAATTTCTAAGCACCAGCTGAAGTTTTTTCAATCCCTTTACTGTATTTATATTTCCCCAGGCTCCCACTAGTTTGATTCCTTCTTAGACAAATGTTTCCAGTAGCTGCAGGTGTCAGAGCTACCTGATTGTTTGCCTTGAGGAAACAGAAGATTTGCTGTTAGTTAAAGGTTATTGATACAGGGAAGCTCCCTGGTTTGTGTGTCTGCTTATTGATGAGTAGGAATAACTTTCCATTAAAAGGTGTATGTCTGATGTGATAAAAAAAATTCTAGTCACACACACACACATACATACATAGCATTGGCTTTTGTTATTTTAGCTCATTCAACGTGATAAGAAGATTTTCACCTAAAAAAATATTACTCAAATACACTGTCTTGTTAAAGCCAAACATTTTTAGGAAGTTCTAGTGATCCAGGAAACTTATGTAATGTCAGAATGGAAAGGAGAATTGTAAAAGCTGAACTTTTGGATTTAAAAAATACTACTTTGAAACAAAGCATTTCACATAAATGTTTAAAATATTCTGTTCAACAAGGACATAGTTCAGAATTTTGAAATACTTTTGCAAAATGGAGTGGATGCCTTCTAGTTATTTGTTTCCTTACTATCTTTTAGTAGTGACGTAAGTTTGATCTTGCTTATTGTAATTCTGTTTTCCAGGACCATCACCATTTTGTCAGACAGTTCAGAATACAGCTGGAGTTTATTTGCCTTCAAATTACTCTATCTCAAAATTCTTCTCCCCGGTTGCAACAAAAAATCATAGATTAAATTTAAGGTGGAATGCTGTAATATTTAGTAATGATTCAGTTTAATTGTGTAAGATATATAAAAACCACCCTGGTTAAACTAGTCCCCATAATCAAGAAGAAATTAGTGTATCTAGAAGGATGATCTTGATCCTCGATTTTCCCAATTTTTTTAATCTAAGCAAAGAAGATGTATTCCATGAAATTCATGCCAAACTATCTATCATTGTATTTACACAGTTTTGGTTCCCAATTTGATGCACTTTAATTTTTCAGATTTTCAGAAAGTAACAAACATCTATCCTTTGAAAATCCTCTAGTCTTTGTTACTTTCTAATTCATTCTTTATGTTCAGTAATTTAGTTTTTACACCCCATTCCAGACTCCTCTATCTGAACTGTGAATATGCCCAAGTGGGAAGAAAAAAAGTCAGATTTCTAAGCTGAAAGTGTGAACCCAGCTTCAACAAATTGTATTCATTCTTCAACCTTAGTAACCGACATGCCCAAGGCAAAAATACAGTATCTTGGGCTAAAATTAAGGATCTCTCAAAAAATTCTCCACTATTGCAGTTTCCCTTTGGTGCTCTGGGACAAAGTGCAGTTCCAGTAAGTTTTTTAAAAGTCCTAAAAATTAATGTTTAGCAATCTGATTGACTAAGAAAACTGATTTATGCTAGGCATTTTGGAAGGTGACATTAGACAGTTGCTTGTAACTCCAGATGTCTGAATAGCTTTTAAATCTAGTCCTTGGTTTCAGCTTGAAAGACAACAAAAAATGTACACGTTTTCTGAAACTATGCTTTATATATATAAATGCCTTGATTAAAATATTGTGTAGGGCCAGGAATAAAATATTGCCTAGTCTGCACTGGGATAGTTTTCTACAAGATTTCCTGTCTCTGCCAGTGTATTGCTGGAAATTTACTGGAGTTGGGTATATATCAGCAAGCTTTTTATACAGTACCTTCTTAACTCTCAGAACAGTCTACACCATATACTATTAGAACATTAATAACTTCCAGTAAATCTTATGTTTTTTAATGCTAATGCTAGGTCACTAGTAAGCAGTGCTGAATATTTAATTCCTGGGTAGATGGGATTGTAGTTAAATACTGTTTTTTCCCAAATAATCACTAGCAAAAAAAAACCCCACCACAAATAAGAACAAGCTAAACTGCCATTCATTGCAACTGGCTTTCTGGGTTTTGTTTGGTTTTGTTTTGTTTTCCCTCTCTCTATTACTGTGCTAACCACATACATAAACACCTTTGGCATACAATGTGTGTGCTAAAATTAAACAGCACATCCTGAACAATTTTCTCTGATCTTCTCCCATACTGCCTAAAAGAACCAAAGAAGTCCCAATTAATGTTTTAGAAATAGCTTTAACAAAGGTAGAAAGCAGTTCTGCAGAATTCTCACAGAACTTCAAAAATGACACAAATGAATATTTGGAACTGGTGCCTGAGACATCCCACAGTAAAATTCCAAAATGGTGCTCCGTAACCTAAAAGCATCCTCAGTCGCCTCGGCAAGGCAGTCAGACCTCATGGCCCTCGCAGAACAGCCAGTGTGGACAAGTGCCTTGGCAGCCCTCCTGACAGCAACACAGCATGACACCTCTATCCTCAATGCTCCGATTGCCTTCATGACTTCACTGTTGGTTTTTAAAGTTCTTAATTGTGCAGCTTCTCATAATACTCTGACTCTCAGCAGATGCATTTACATCAGCGATCCAGTATCACTTACGTTGTATAGCCCATGCCATTTTGCGTCACAAGGATAGCGGAGGAACGGTAGACAAGAAGAAGGAAAAAATTTAAGTTGTGAAATCATAGAGACATAAAGGTAAGATCAAAAAAACAGAAATAAGTGTCCCTGCCTTAACAATCCCATTATGAAATGTAACTGTGTGAAAATCAGGGGAAAGCAATGCCTCCCTTCAGTGGCATTCTTCATGCAGGAAAGATTATCCCCTTTTTATCTAACGCTCAAAAGCAGAAGACCTTTATCTAGATTTAGAAGGGAGACATATGAGTTATAAAACTCAGTATTGCTGTGCGGACTCCTGGAAATCCTCTCACTTACAGAAATTCAGAATTTTGAGTGAACTCACCATGCTCAATGCCCTGGAAAAATTGTCTAGAAAGTGATTAATTGAAATCAGTTTGCAGGGCAGATTGTAAACTAAGCTAGCCAACAGAAAATGCAATTTGCAGCTGTGACTTCTGTGGGAGTTAGGTGTCCAAAGCAGCCCAGTGCCCTTTTCCTCTGCCTGTAAAGAATGAAGAGAACATTCAGAGGTAATTTTTGGGCAGGGGTACTGTACTCAGAGGGACTCCCCTTGTCCCAGAGGCTGTCCAGCATCAGCTCAACATGCCAGTTGCATCAATCTTTCTGTGTGCACTTTCTTCTGAGAAGATCTTCTATGCCCCATATCCAATGAGTACAGAGGGCCCCAAATCACTCCTCT